AGGTTTTACACTCGTAAAAATAAAAGTATATCAAAATTAGTTACTAAATCACATTTATTTTGTATGTTTTAGAAAAGTATAATTGACTTTAGGTCATTTTAAAAAGTGACTAAACAATATAAAAATTTTTATGAATAATGCACTATTAATACTGGGATTACCAATTACTCAATACAAACACTTGCTTAACTACATAACAATATGACGGTAGTATAGAGATGTTACATTGTTGTATAAACTTTGTTTAACATGATTTATTGCCAAGTCCACTTTACCCCGATTTATACCAACCAGCATGGTCAACTGCTTCCCTTGTAGCCTTTTCATCTCGCCAGTAGCCAACCATCTGATTATGTCCACGTGATAATAATTCACCTAGATTGTTTTTATAATCAATATAAATTGTCATTATTTTGAAAACTATTATATCATTCAATATTTTATTAATTAATACCGCTTTCGCCAACTTTAACTACATTTCCCGTTTTTGGGTCAACAATCTTAGTCTCCATGTGAAATAATGGTCGACCTATTAAACAGTAAACATTATGATTTAGCTTGGTAATTTATTTTAAATAAGTAAATTGATATTTACCACAAGTTTCCAACCGGCGCTCAATTGAGTCAGATTGATCTGATACAGTGCCAAATGTTCCTAGATCAAATAAATAATTACATATATAATGTTATAAATGTTTATATTTTAAATGCAATTTATATTTAACGTGGTAATACCATGTGTTAAAATACTAAATGACATACCAGCCTCTGTAGCCCCATAAGCAACTCTCATATCAAAACATGAAGGTATAATTTTGCGCGCTCGATGGGCCACCTCAATAGGCATTGATGATCCGCCTGTGCCAATGCCTTTCAAACTATCCATCCTGATTTTATTTGTTTCTAGATAGTCTAACATGTCAATGACCATGGTCGGTGTACCAAGCATGTAAGTGCATTCGTGTTTAATTATTGTGTCCACCATGTGTTTGATATTGAATTTAAAGTGTGGTATAACTATAGACAAAAAATTACAAATTTTTATTTTAAAAAATAAGCTAGGTAAATATAATTAGCATTTTATTTAACATACCATTTTTAAATGGGAAAGCACACATGCCCAAATTGCCTAGTATGCCACCAAATGCGTGAAAAAATGGCAATGGGTTGCAAAATATTTTATCCTGATCGTCTATGTCCCACGAATTTGAGGCTAATAAAGCGTTATTGCCTATGACAAATGTTTGTTATTATCAGGGTATTTTAAAAAATAGTCTCAAAAGTCAGTATTATTTAATTATAATCATTTACCTAAAGTATGATGGGATAAATAAGCACCTTTTGGTTTGCCTGTTGTACCCTATTTAAATATAATTTATTATTTACATTAAGAATACAGGGCATCTAGTTAATCACATACTGAGGTAAATAAAATAACTCCAGGATCGTCCGGTGTTACCGATTCCGTTACTGAGTCGGGAAGTTGTCCATCAGTTTTGCAAAAATCTGATAACAAACTACTGGTTACCCTATCCTTGTTACGATCACACATTTGAGTATCGGTGCCGTCCATAAAAATTACGTGATTTAATAATAACGGATCGGAATTAGTTTGCTAAAAAATTTACAAACATATATTTTTAACTATATTAATTTTATATTCAAAAATCATAATATAAAGTTGTGATTCCACATTTTGCACCATAAACTAAATGTGATTTTTAAATTAATTATAAATTTATGATTTTTAATATTTACTTACAGTTTTTCTCATAGTTAAGACATCGCTTAAAACTTTGTGATAGTTGTTTATTATTAACTGTTTTGAGTCCAATCCGGGCATAAATAAGGTCTTTATTTGTGCCCGCCGTAACACATAATCCAATTCGGAGCATTGGTAGCCCGGATTAATTGTGCACATTATTATACCCAGCTTAGCGCACGCATATTGTATTTTAATCTAGTTCACAACAATAATTGTTAACTTATAAGTTATAACCCTGTTCACATTGTTTTGACAAAGTTGAATTGTTGCATTTACCCAGTTATATGAGTTACAACTCCATATACCAATTATGTCACCCCTTTTAATACCTTAATGCATAATTTTTATTGTAATTTTATAGTAAATAAAAATTGATTAAGGTAACTTACCAAACTGCAACAGGCCTTTTGCCAATTTATTTACATCATTGTTCAATTCTCCATAGGTTTTGCTTATGTTCTCGTATTCGCTAACAAACGCTGTTTTCTGTGAATCTGGTAATTATATAATTAATTAAAATATATAGGATTTATAGTTATATTATAATGTTATAATTTGGTTTACCTTGAACAAGTCTTCTATTTAATAAATCACCTACTCTTATATATTCTAAAGGCTGATCGCTGCGACCATAGGCATACGCGTAGGGCAGAGTGACATGAGCGCTAATTATCAAGGTTGATTATTTATAATATTGTATGCAAATCCAGTATATTTTATATAACTTTTATTTATTTGTTTATTTAATGGTGGCATTAATTAATTTTTATCTATATAATAATAATTCTTTAAGTGTATAATATTTACCTCAAATTTTTAGATTTATAATTCTGACTAAATAGCTGAAAATATCTAGATGACAATTGCCGGTGATGATTTGAACAAGTAAATAATAATGAATTACTCTTGGTTAATGCTTGAATAAACATTTTAACATAATAGTTTGTTGTGCATTCAAAATTATAATATTACACTAATTTTGAATCAAAATAACTTAAACAATTTAAATTATATTGACATTAATAAGATTCGTCTTGGCTGCATATGCATGATTATACACAAAGTTTACATTTAATTTAGATAACATATTGTACTTATGACACCGAATGTACTTGTTACCAGGACGCTACAAGGGTACCATGATCGTTATGAGTTATCACTAATTTCACGCACAAAATATTTTTATTTTAACATTTTTAAACAAAACTAATCATGGATGTAAATTAATTTTTAAAATTTGAGTTTAATTAATAATTAAATTGTAAAGTTGTAGACATGGATATGCTTTTATTATGATCATTTCATTTATAATTATAAAAATGGTTTGAGGGAAAATTGTTTGCACAATATCAAAAATGTTTTTCTATTTACTCTAATCATTTAAATAAATAAAAATTTAATCATTATGATCAGTATTTATATGATGAAGTCAATAGACATTTATATCAACAACATTTATAAGTGTGATTGTTATAATATAATTTTAAAATAATAATTTTATTAATTGGTATAAATAAAGTTATTATTTTAGCAGTTTCTTAAAAAAATATTTTAAAATATAATTATAAAATAACTTACAGGAAATATATGCTTTAAATATTTGACCTTGATAATAATATCTGGTTTGGTATTTTTAGTTTTTAAAACAAAACCTTGAATTTATTATACTCTTACATAATAATTAATTTAAGCAATACAATTTTAAAATAGTCAAATAAATAAAACATACTAATTTGTATTTGTAATTTTATTAATGGGCCATAGATTAGTATTGTATTAACACCTGTAATATTTAACATCATAACAAATTCATTTCAGTCTAAATGAATTACTTATTTAAACAGATGGTAACTATAACAAAAATTTAATAACAATCATATTGCACATGCCATAATCAAATATACAATATTCAAATATGACATTAAATATTTATTCAAAATCAATTATACTAGATGAATTTATTTTCTAAAAATACTACTTATAATACCACGTTTCTGTACGGGTTGAGTTGTTAAGGGCACAGTTGCATCATTTATACCCTGATTAACAGGACATTTATAAATCGAACTAATAGACTGATAAGTAGCATGGTACTCTTTGGCAAAAAAGTCTCTAAAACATTTATACTTGGTCGGTTTCATCAGCATATTACTATCAACACGGTGAACATAATCATCTTGATCACTCATCACAACAATCTCGGTAAACCACTTATGAGAGTCTATGCGCGCTATGGACTGAACCGTGGCGTACGTCTGGAGCGGGAACGGTGTCCGATGTATGTAATTGCCGCCCGACCTGTTCCGCAATTCCCCGCAACAGTACAGCTGGCCGTCCGCTGTCAACAGGTATGTCATTAAGTTTGTGCAGCATATGCTACGAATCTGATTCATCCGGGTAATCAGCTGCGGTGTACGCAAATCACCATCCACATCGTGACCGAGTTTATAACTATTATTTTGACCCCAACTGAACGCAAACCCGTCGCTAGTGATGGCAAACGAGTGATTGTGATAACAGTATACGGCGGACACACTGTAGTCGTTGGGAAAATATACCCTGGTAGGTGTACGCGCATAGGCTATACCAGCTTGTTCAACGCCCAACTGGCCCGTGTTGTTGGCACCCCAGGCGTACACATTCCCCTCACTGGTTAGGGCCAGGGCGTGTGAGTAGCCACAACTCACCTCGATCAATTCAGTGCCAGCGAATGCGGCGATCATGGCCGGTTTCTGATAACTATTATCGGGGTCGTCCAGTTCCCGACATAACTGGCCTAGCGTGTTGTCACCAAAACTGTATAACTCACCACGCGCGTTTTGAGCTAGTACAAATGTTACACCGTTGATAAATCGTTGAATACCCTGATGACATAGTTCGGGTATTAATGTAGGGTTGAGTACGTCATAAAAGTGACCTAGACCTAGTGAGCCCCAGTGGTTACAGCCCAGTCCGTACACCTGGTCATCATTGGTGATGTATATAAGTGTACCGGTGTTGTCGATGGCCGATGTACCAGGGTTGATTTCTTTGAACACGTGAAATAACCGTATTGATTGTTTAATATTTTTAGGTATTTTATTACATATACGAAATTTTTGTAAATGTTCCGACATTATTTATTGAAACACGTATTAACTTAATTTAATTTAAAAATAATTTTTATTAAGTATTTTTTAAATTGTTAACACAAATAATACTTATATTTAGTTATGCTAAATTAAATAAACATAGTTTTGTTTTACTTTTTATTTATGATTTCATATTTCACCTGAATTGTAGTTTACAATGAAACATAACTATAGTAACTAAAGGTGTTATCGTAAGTTATTGTTTGTATCCTATTACCAACTAGATAAAAATTTTGTTTAATTTTTCAATAATTATAAAATAGATTATATATTTATCTTTAAAAATTTTATTAAAGTAATTTCGATTTGAGTTCTATTATAAAATTTATTTTAATATTTATAAATCAGCTTTAAGCTTTGTGAATAATTATTAATATTAATTATCATTAATAATAATAATTTATTGTGTTAAATTATTAAGTTACTTTCGTATTTACCATGTGTATAGCGACACCTATTTATTTAAATTATAATATTGCTAAACTTAACAGAAAATAATTTTACAAAATTAAATAATTATAAATAACATATTAATCTAATATAAATTAAACTTATTATAAAAGTATTATTATTAAAAATTTATGAATATAATTCACACATTAGTAAAATCATAAAGTACATGAACACAATTATTAGTTTACCTAAAGTTTATCTAATTTGTTTACCTTTACATAGATTCTCAACAATCTGCACAATCCTATTCAAACTTTTCTCGGTCTGAATCCTATGCGAAACTGCAGCCAATTTTACACTCAATTGTTTATCGCCCAAAAGCCTATCAACGGTGGCCAACAAGTCAGGGGCAGTGCATACGAACGGATCCATACGTACGCCAAACCCCTGTTCGTGAACGCGCTGAGCGTTATCATACTGGTTCCAAAACAGTGGCATCACCACCATCGGCTTACCATGGTACATGCATTCTGTTACCGTATTATTACCACCATGTGTGATTAATAAATCAACCATGCCCAGCACCTGTAGCTGGGGAACCGTTCGTGCGCCCCACATATTATCCGGCAGTGCATATTGATCGTGGTAAACACCCTTGGACACAATAAACCTGTGCGGGCTATTGGCCAGTATGCCAACCAATCGGCGCATTAGTTCGACATTGGCGCTACCCATGGAGCCCAGCGAGAAGTATATAAGTTTGCCAGGTTTGCCCCTTAAACAATCGGGCACAACAAACGGCTCCTGGCCCTCACCCCCGGTGCGCATACAGTAATCAAACCGGTGGTATGTTTCGGGCAATGGACGCACATCTGTGTAATCTAACTCTTTAGTAAACATGTAAACGTTGGCATAGGGTGAGGGTGACCATAGTTGACCCTTTAGGGGTAGCTGATCCGGTTGGCAACCCTCCTTTACCAACCAATTCCTATAGGCTGGCCACACCTCAAGGCGAACCTCCCTTAGCCGTGATCGCAGTACTTCCCACTCGTTTTTGTCGCTATTAATAGACAAACCTTATAAATAGAAAAAATATTAAATTTTTACAATAGTTAACTAATAATAAAATTTGCTTTTAAGTGAGCTTACCTAATAGGGAAGGCGGTAGTCGCCGATCCTCGTGGCACAAGTCTAGTGACAACGGGTTACTACTGTAGCTGAACACCCAGGGTATGCCCGAGAGCAAAATGGACGGGAAGTTCATCACATGATCGGCGATGATCACGTCGGGCTTTACCCTCGTAATTATAGCTGCCAAGTAGGGGTCGTCACGGGCACTTTGGGGTATCATGTCGGCAAATGTACCGCGGAGATTTTTTGTAGTGGATTCAAATGGGGTCAGTTGGCGTAGAAAATCACGTACGATGTCTACGTTGCGCTCGGTTGAATCATCAGGGTTAGCGGTGGTGTTGGTGGTAGAGGTGTTCTCAGGTTCTGGGTCGGAAGGGCCCAACACCTCTACGCTAAAGTTGCCGTACGTGGTTAGCTTTTGTTGCCATTCCGGTTGTACGGCAAATACAACGTGGTGCCCGGCGCCCAATAGTACCTGGCCCATTCCAACGCAGCAATTTACTGGGCCCACAAAGTTCAGTGGCATAAATAACACGGTTCGTTTTTTGTTCATGGTTAATGGGTTTTGTTTGGTGTTTAATTAATTGAATATTTCACTATTTATAATGAAAATAAATTTTGTTTATTTTATACTGTATATTGCATTTAACTGTACAAAGCCTTCAGTCTATTTAACACATAATAAATTTCATTTTATACATTTAAATTTAAAATTAAATAGATTAATTTTTTTGTATTTTAGCATTTAATTTAGTATTTATATTTGATGCACTCTGTATACATAAATCCTTGAAACTTAACTTTTGATTATTATAATTTATAAATAATGTGTAACATTTGATAAAGAAGATGTAAAAATGATAAAGGTGAATATACAAGTGCATGGTTGTTATAAAAGCAATTGATTGTAATTTTTTGTTTAAATATTATATTTAAATTTATAATTTATTATGCTATTAAATTTGAAAAAATTAACAGTATAACTTTCAAAATGTTAAATAATTTCACTTGAATTGTACTGTATTTCCTAATGAAATAACTACATAATATAATAAATAAAAGTGTTATAATTAGCTAATGTTTGTATTCTATTAACAACTATTAATAGATATCAAAAATTTATATAATTATTTATTTATTCTAAATATGCATCAATTTTTTTTGTTAAAATATATTTTAATTAATTACAATACAATAAAAATTTATATAAAGAGGCGTTCAATATATCTTGTCCACGGCAAAATCGTTATATCTCGTAAACCATAAGACATAATTAAATTCTGTAAAAAGCATTCAAT